GGGGGGGGGCAACAGTGGGAGGGTTGCTAGTGTCCTGGCCCCACTGCTGGATCTCCTGATGGCGCCTGGTATTTTTGGCCACTGTGTGACAGAGTGTTGGACTGGATGGGCCTTTGGCCTGATCCAACATTGGCTTCTCTTATGTTCTTAAGAGATGGGAATTTAGCATTCTAGTGTCCTGGCCCCACTGCTGGACCTCCTGATGGCGCCTGGTATTTTTGGCCACTGTGTGACAGAGTGTTGGACTGGATGGGCCTTTGGCCTGATCCAACATTGGCTTCTCTTATGTTCTTAAGAGATGGGAATTTAGCTTGGGACAGAGTGCTTATCTCCGGGTCCTGGTGTACAAGCCAGGCCAAATGTGAAGTAGATGATGCATTGGTAACAGAGAGGTACGATTCCTTTGCTGCCGTTACCTTTGCTGCCGGCAGGCCTTCAGACGGAATCTGCAGTATACTGTCAAGGCTGACGTGCCTCGGTTTGAGAGATTTGTCCCCCCGCCGCTGGGACCCCGGAACCAGCCCTTCTGTGATAATATAGCCAAGTTTTTGGGAGGGTTTTTTTTTGGTATTTTTTAATATGGGGCATGTGTGTGCGCGTGCGTCTCTTGACAGAAACCTTCTGCAGCATGGTGTTCAAATTGCAGTGCTTTAATTGTCAGTTTCGTCAGTCGCAGAGTAAATGTCAGCTCCTGAACTGATAAGCAGTCATGGTGCCTGATAAGAGAGGTCATTTTTTAATCCCGTTGTGTCTTTGATAACCGTTGTGACAGAACCCCTGCAGTTCTCAGTTGCTTCAAAAGGTCACGGGCTGAATGCTGTCTTGTGAGCCATCTGAGTTCCTTCAGTTTTAATTTCTTTCTTACGCCATGACTTCCAGGCACAGGCATACACGCACAGAGAGAGACAAAAATGCAAAAATATATAAAAAAAGAAGAAGTGGAATCGGCTCTCCAACAAACGAGCTGTCTTGTGAGCCATCTGAGTTCCTTCAGTTTTAATTTCTTTCTTAGCTCCTTGTTTCCACTTTGTGCTTTTGCCATAAGCAGAACTATTCGCTTGTTGGTACATTACAGCTTTAAAATTCTGTCATTCAGGATCTGTGAGAGACTCGAAGTGCTGGAGAGGCTGTGGTCAAACCGGGTCTTTTTTTCACTGTTGGTGGACATGTCCAAAAGTACAAGGTTATTGGTCCTCTATAATATCTAAGTGGAGCTGCGGTGGCTCAAGTGGTTAAGACGCTGAACTGCAGGCTGTGGAAGGTCGGTAGTTCAGCAGTTCGAGACCCGAGTGTGCCGCATGACGGAGTGAGCTCCCGTCTCTAGTTCCAGCTCCTGCCAACCTAGCAGTTTGAAAGCAAGAAATTGCAAGTAGATAAATAGGTACCACTTTGGTGGGAAGGTAACAGCATTCCATGCGCCTTGGTGTTTAGTCATGCCGGCCACATGACTACGGAAACGTCTTCAGACAGTGCTGGCTCTTCGGCTTTGAAACGGAGATGAGCACCGCAACCCTAGAGTCGGATTTGACTGGCTTTCGAGCAAGGGAACCTTTACCTTTTTATAATATCTAAAACTGAGGAAATATTGGAGCTAAGCCTTCCTAAAACACCGGAAGCTATATTGTTAAACTTATGGAAAAATACTCATTTTACACCAATCTTATGAGAACTTATTTCATTAATGCTGATTGCTGCTAAAACACTATTAGCAAAACAGTGGAAAACAGACAAAGTTCCTACAATATATCAATGGTTGTTAAAACCGTGGGACATAGTGACGATGGACAAACCGGCCACACAACTATTAATGTCAGGAAACACAAATAAGAAAGGAATGCTTTGTGAAAAAATGGTTTCGATTTTTTCATTACATTAATAATAAGAAAGGTAACTATAGTGCCTTACCTGATAAGTATGTTGCTGATAAGTATATTGAATGTGTATTTTTTTATTGTTCTTGATAGTTGTTAATAGGAGAGAACTTTATTGTATTCTTCAGAAATGGCCATATGGATTTGTATATGTTTTAATTGCAAAAGTTAAAAATAAATATATAGAACTCCTTAAAGGCAGGTCAGAAGGGGAATGGGCTGCCCTGACTTGGATAGCCCAGGCAAGCCCGATCTCATCAGGTGTCGGAAGCTAAGCAGGGCCGACCCCAGCAAGTATTTGGATGGGAGCAATGTTCCCTCTAAGCTGTGGAGTCCTGCGAGCAAAAATTCTACTTGGTGAGCTACTGGCATTAAAGTTGTGAGCAAGCCATTTGGCTACTGCATGCATTAGTTTGCTCTGGAGCCATCCTTCCTGAGCTAAGACAAAAATGTGTGAGCCGGAGGCTAAAAAACTGTGAGCTAGCTCACACTAACTCAGCTTAGAGGGAACACTGGATGGGAGACCTTCAGAGAATACCAGGGCCGGGAGGCCTGAGGCAGGCGATCAAGCCGCTTCTCTGAATGTTCTCCATCCCCCAGTAGGAGTCGCTAGAGGTCGCCATGACTTCCAGGCACAGGCATACACAGAGAGAGAGAGACAAAAATGCAAAAATATCAAAACCCAAAGAAGTGGAATCGGCTCTCCAACAAACGTTTCCCCCCACGCACATCATGCTCCCCCTTGTCTGGGTAGAGGGCTTCTCCGTGCTCCCCCTTGCTTCATATAGGCGATCCCACTCACTCACCTTGTCAATTCCTGGGGGTCTTGACACTAACCTGTCAGGCTGCTGCCTTCTGCTCTGCCTGAGGCCCTTAAGGCCAGGCTAGCCACCACCAGTGTCCCCTCTAAGGTGAGTCATTGTGAGCTAGCTCATCATTTTTTAGCCTCTAGCTCACACCTTTTTGTCTTAGCTCAGGAAGGATGGCTCCAGAGCAAACTGATTTATGCAGTAGCCAAATCGCTCGCGCGCACAGCATTAATGCCCGTAGCTCACAAAGTGGAATATTTGCTCACAAGACTCCACAGCTTAGAGGGAGCATTGGCCACCACAGATGCATAGTTGAATACAGAAAACGAAAGGTCAGAGGGTAGAAAGAAAATGTTTCTGTTCAAGCCCACGACATCCAAAGCTGGCTCAGTACTTGCATCTACAGAGCAGAAATGTTCTCTCCCCATCCTTCCTCCCGGAATGGAATAATCCCCCCACCATTATTATGAATTACTGTCATCTTCTTCAGCTCTTCTGTGGTATCCTATCTCATGGAATTTAGTTTTACGATAAGGTTAAGTTATCAGGGGGAGATGTCCCTGTTTTCTTGCTATCATTTTGTGTTTTTTTTTTTAATGCTCTCTTGTAATGTCCACTTGTAATTTTTCCAGTCTTTTAACAACAGGTTTTTGCCTTCAAGAGAAATTAGTCCTCCACTAATGCTTCCCAGGTCCAACCCTTAAAGAGGGCTGGTTATAGAAGTCCAAAGGAGGCAAACTGCAAATTCTGGTTTTATTTTATGTGATCGTTCTGCATCCTTCTGGTTCTGGTGGAACCAACGGTTGTAACGTGTCAGATGTTTGTTGGTCAAACCCATATCCTGGTTCTGGTATCTGCATGTCAAAGTGTAGGTTAAACAGAGACATTTAGGCCTGGTTCTAATTCAGGAAAATAATAAAAAGTTGTTCTGGTTTTTGGTTTGAGTTGCTCTTTGTTAATAACCGACACCGTGTTTGCTTGTCTTCAGAAGATTGCCACGACCCAGCAGCGCAAGGCCGGCTCCGCCCCGGATAAAACGTCAAGAAAGTGCAGAGGTTCTACTGCCAGAAAGGTATGGACAGAATAAGAATTATTCCTAATACCGGTAGCGTTTATTCTCTGATTGCAAACGTAGCCCAGTTCACATTGTTCCAAACATAGTAATTTAGCAAAAGGACTGTCTTCCAAATCAGTCTAGGCTTTTTGTGACTCTGATCTGTTTGGGGTGGTATTTTGAAAACTCTTGCAACAGATAAAATCAACACGGGTATGTATTTTTTTTAACTTGGTTATAAAGTGAGAATTTGATGTTAAAGGGTAATGGAATTATCATAATTCTCACAGGTCATTAAGGTGATGCAAAATGTGACAGGTTTAAGATCCTAGAATTCTACTACAGACTTCAAAGAAAAGCTGCAAAAATCCTATGTCAATGAGAGTACTCCAGAGGGATCAGTCTTTCTCCAGAAGGACTTCTCATGACCTGACTGATGTGAAAATAGAGTTCTTTCAGGTTTCTGAGAATGGAGGCTGGTTGTTGTCCGACTCAGATAGGCGTTGGAGATGTAACTTGCCAAGACCCAGTTTGACACATGGGTTCTGGGTATGTGTGATTGTCGTGCCACATTTATTTAATTTATTTTATTGGATTTGTATCCCATCCTCCCCGCATAGTGGGCTCAGGGTGGGTTCCAGCAGATACAGTAAACAATATAGAATACACAAAGAATAAAAATACAATTAAAAACCTTAATAAAACACGACAACATTCCTATGATGAAGATTCTGGTCAAAGCCTCACAGATGCAGTCTGTTTTGAGTTTGGGTCCCTAGATGGTGATACCGATATGACCCACTGAGGGGGAGGCCTAATAGAGGAAAGGGGGGGGGACGCCAGCTGCCCTAACAAAAAGCCTGGTGGAAGAGCCCCGTCTTCCACGATCTCATATGGGAGCTCATTCCACCAGGTATAGGTGATTAGAGATTATTAGACACAATTTTGCCCTAGAATGTTCACTGGAACTTATTCCACTCGTCTCAGTATTGGGGTACTTGCCTCTCCCTTGGAACCTTTTGAAAAAGGCTCTGGATCTTACAAGGCTTGGCAACAGCGAAATGAATAACTCTTTCAAACAATAATTCTTCAGAAGTGGAAGGCAGCGATTACACTAAACATTGATATGTGGACTGAAACAATGTTAGACCAGCGGGAGACACAAAGGCAAGGCCTTAGAACTTGGAAGGGAAGCTGGGAGTCCTCCTGACCCTCCCAGTGGGCAATTCCTACGAATGTCAGGGGGCGATCCAGGGCTATTTTTGGGCAGGAACGCACAGGAACGGAGTTCCGGCTGGCTCCCAAGTTGACCACGCCTAGCAGGAACTCATTAGCATAATAGGTCACACCCAACAGCAGAAACTCATTAGGATTGGCTACATTAGGGGTGTGTGGCCTAACGTGCAAAGGAGTTCCTGCTACAAAAAAGCCCTGGGTTTTGACAGCAAACAAGGTAAACAGAATAACAAGCAAAAGGTGGGTGTGGCTGGATAAGCACACTTCTGGTAACATGGGGGTGCGGCCTAATGTGGTAATGAGCTGTGCTGTCAGGGGTGTGGACTAATATGCTAATGAGTTCCTGCTGTTGGGTGTGGCCTATTATGCTAATGAGTTCCTGCTGGGCTTTTTCTACAAAAAGAGCCCTGGATAGCAGTTAAACAGAGAGAGAGAGAAAAGCCCCTCCAGGTGTTGGGAAAACCCAGGTGGGCAGGCTGGAACAGGACCTGCAGGCCAGAGCAGGACTGTTCTGACACAGGTTGGGGGTTTTTTTTGGGGGGGGGATTTGGAAGAGTCTGAGTTTGATCCCTATTTTTTGATCGGCAGCAGTACTCTGCTTCTCCCTTGGATGGTGGTCCGTCTTAACCTTCCTGAATCATATTTCTGTCTTGGCTTCCCCCCCAGGAATGGCAGTGCCAGAATAGTCTCAAACGTCATTATAGATAAAAAGGAGGAAGAGGAGGAGGAAGATGACCAATTTGTGGTGGAAGCAGCATCGGAGGTGCCTGAAATGACAGAAATGGCAACGGTTGGTTGTTGAACGTCCTTGTTCAAATGAGAACTGAAAGTTAATTTTTAGTAGGATTCGTTGTTTTGCTTCCTCTCCCTCCAGAGAGGGTTCCAGTAACCTTGCTTCAGACTTCATTATTGGAGGCAGGATAGTGAATGCGGGCAGCCATCTGGAGATGGAAACCCCTGCCAGCTCTGTTTAGTTGGAGAAGTGAGAAGTAAGTATTGCCATAGAAAAGGTGTGGTTAGAGGACTCTTGAAGGCAGCCTAATATCTTTTGCTTTCAGGTTCATAGCTCACCCCTTCCAGTCATGCCAGCAAATATAGACTTTCTCAGTTCCTCAGGGCCTGCAAGACGGAGCTCTTCCGCCAGGCCTTTTAAGTAGGAGCCGCCGCCACCACTATTCCACCTCCGCCTCCTGTGCACTGTCGTATTACCATCATGATTGTTTGGTCCCTACGGGGGGAGCGAGGTGCCTGGGCACGGATTGGATGATAAGATCTCAGGGAGTTGCTATGGAGGTTAAGATCTACCCACCTTGGTTAAATCTGTATTGCAAATTCGTTACTGTATTTTATTGTAATTTATTGTTTTTTAATTATGTGTTTATTGTTGTAACCTTGGCACATGGTGCCCTTGTCAGCTGCCCTGAGCCTTCGGGGTAGGGCGGGATATAAATAAAATAAATAAATGAGAAACACAGTGTAAGAGCTAAATGCACAACACCAGCACTGTGTAAAAAGGCTTTGCCAAACATCAGATGAATCTTATTGCACCATTCAATAGATGTATGTTATATAAACAACAACTTGTTTATTACTTCTTGAAAATGGCGGCTAATCAGCTCCGTAAATGTACATACAGTGTTGCAACCAACCATATACTATGAAAACGTCATAGGAAAAGCAGCCCAACAGCTTAGCAGCAGTTTCACAAAAGGCTTCAGATTTCAAATAGCAGACCCATAGCCCTGAAGTCTTGGATCCGCTGTAGAACTCTGCAGCTAGAGACCCGGCCAACTTGGCAACCAGAAAAGGTGCCCAAAGGTCCTCATTTCAGCTGTAGCCTTTATCACAAGCCAAAGCACTACTTCAGGTAGCAGGAGAAAAACTTCACAAAGTCGGCACAAAATCTCTTGTCAATTTTAAGGCACATATCACGCCATTAATGTTTAAGCATCAGACAGCAGTCCTTCAGCGTTTAATTACTGTCAAGCGAATACGTATATGAATAATATACGAATACAGCTGAAACGAGGAAGCCGAGATTGTTGGGCTTCAAGGCTATGGATCTGCTATTTGTCATCTGAAGCCTTTTGGGTTGAAGAAGTGAACTCGGGCTGAAGAACAAGGGTTGGTACCGTTGCATGGACCTGAGACGTGAGGGAGAATGTATTTCTTATGTAGGACTGCCAGCCACCAGGTGGTAGCTGGAGATCTTTTGGGATCACAACCAGTATTCCCTCTAAGCTGAGTTAGTGTGAGTTGGCTCACCATTTCTTAGCCTCCAGCTTGCACATTTTTGTCCAAACTCAGGAAGGAGGGCTCCAGAGCAAACCAATTTATGCAGTACCCAAATCGCTCGCTCACAACTTCAATGCCAGTAGCTCACAAAGTAGAATTTTTGCTCACAAGACTCCACAGCTTAGAGGGATCATTGATCACAACTGATCTCCAGGCGACAGAGACCAGTTCCCCTGGAGAAAATGGCCGTTTTGGGAAGGTGGGCTCTCTATGGCCTTGTATCCCATTGAAGTCCCTCCCCCTCTCCAAACTGTGCCCTCCCCGGGCTCTGTCTCTAAATCTCCAGGAATTTTCTAACTCTGAGCCGGCGACCCTGAAATTAAGGCAGTAGCTTTCACTTACAATTTCCATCGTTTTTGGAACATGAAAGAAATTGCAGGTGCCTTTAACTCTTCTCTTTAAATAGAGGTTTGTCGTAAAATATAGGAAACGTGGATATTTCCAAAGTTCCATGGTTGTCCAGGCTTCATATCCACCACCTGTCTGGGTGCAAAGGTGGCACTGAAATATTTTTAAGTAAAGTAAATAAAAGCTCGGTAACAAACCTTATGGTCTCTGATAGAACTTGGACAACAGAGATCCCTTTGGTTTGAAATGAAGGGAACACAGTCGTAATATACATCAGGCCTGTCCTCTGTATGTGATCTGCTACTCAGGTTTTTGGTGGCGGGAAGTGCCATCAGGTCGCAGACGACTTATGGCGACCCTTGGTTGAGTTTTCAAAGCAAGAGATGTTCAGAGGTGGTGTGCCATTGCCTGCCTCTGCCTCGCGACCCTGGTATTCTTTTGGTGGTCTCCCTTCCAAATACCAACCAGGGTCAACCCTGCTTAGCTTCCGACAAAACCAGGCTCACCTGGGCTATCCATGTCAGGGCAATCAGCCTTCTGATGACCCTTTATAGAGCAGAGAGAGCACTCACTGCTGACTCCAGTTTATTATTGAGAATTTACTACCTTAGGAACATGCCGACTGTTTAATCACAGTAATTTAAAGCTTCCTTGTATCTCCTTTGCTGCTACACAGGAAGTGACGGTAGAGTTGGAAGGGGATGAGAAACATGGTAAGTGAGTTGCTGGATTAGTATTTTTCCCCTTTGCCATTCATCATTGTATAAAACGAATTCCAGAAGGAAATATTTACGACAATCTCATCTCCCCCCCCCCTTCCCCACCTTCCTCTGTCTCTGCCTTTTCCTGCACAATGTCCCTCAACCTGACCACTGCTCACATTCTAACTCCATTCCGTCCTCTGCCTCTTTCATAGCATTCTGTTGAGTACGGACCCTGCTTCTTGTTCTCCTTTTCCTGCGGTACCCTGAGCAGATTTCTAACACATGGCACATTTCTTTCTTTTCCCACCTGCTGAATGTTCTTGCACTTAATGAAAAGTTGGCATGCTCTTTGTAGGTAAAAAAGTGGGAAGGACTTCGTTGACGATGGTGTTGGATAGTTGATACCTGGAAGGGAGCATTGTCTAAAATTGGGGGTCCCCAGCGTTTTTAACCCGCGGGCACCTTTAGAAGTTTAAGAGTATGGTGGGTGCAGCCACAAAATGGCTGCTGCAGGAGGAGAAGCCGACCACAGAATGGCTGCCACAGCTTGCCTTATTCTTTAGCGGCCACAGCAATGTCATACCGACTTCAGAAAGGGTCACTCTGTGGGTTTCAGGAAGGGTATTTTGCCACAGTCTGGTGTTCAGGAGGAAACTGTTTGTGTCACCAAGAATTGTTTCAGTATGTTAGCTTAAGAACTTTTAGTCTTTTTCTACTTAAACTAATTTCAGTCTCCAACAGGTGGGCTTGTCAAAAGAATACTGGAAACGAAGAAAGACTATGAACAGTCACAGGTCCTGAAATCTGCTGAGAAGGTAAAACTCTTTAATTCAGAGGATTGTCATTTCAGCGTTTTCTGTGCAGCTCCATTATCTCATTGTTGCACAGTTACGTATCCTGCAAAGTAAAACTTAACATAAAGGTAAAGGCTTCCTTTGCTTGAAAGCCAGTCGAATCTGACGCTAGGGGGCGGTGCTCATCTCAGTTTCCAAGCTGAAGAGCCAGCGTTGTCCGAAGACTTTTCCGAGGCTCATGGAATGCTGTTACATACTTGATGACAATTTGGCCAATGTTTTCAGAACCCTTTTATCAAAGCGCCTGCCCCGAGGTGCCTCTGTAAATAGAAGAAGAGATTGGATTTATACCCCGCCCTTCACTACCCGAAGGCCGTGTTTCTCTGCTTCTCTCTTGTGTCTGCTGTCACACCACATCATTTCTTGTGAAAGAAATTCATGAATGATTTGGCACTTGTACTTCATGCAAATCAAACATGGAAGGCAGGCATGCTTGTTCAATACAGTTTTCAATTTCAAAGATTTACAAATATGTTTAGAACAGTGTGTCTGAGAGATTTTCGTCATTATGGATTTGGGAGGGGGGGATCGTTTCTGAGCCCAGCAGAAGTTTTTCAATGACAGAATTATGGTAGGATGAGAAATTGCGACTAAACCGCTTTTTCTTTGTAGAGGTCTTTCTTTATAAGTTTGGCATTTCATGCCGCTTCCACTGCCGTTTCTTGAACACGTGCCTTTTTATTGCGTTATTTTGTTTTGAAAACATTCCTCGTGTTCAGTTCACCCCTTAACGGCGCATGCCTTTTCTTCATTTTTATTTAAACCATTAGGAGAAGCCGCTTTTGTACGAATCGGCAAGGCGAAAAGAAAAGGATCTGGTATCAAAAGAGGTAGAGAAGTTCTGTGGCTCCATTCAGGCACTTTGTCGGAGCGCTCTGCCTCTTGGGAAACTCATGGATTATATTCAGGAAGATATGGATGCCATAAAGAATGAGTGCCAGATGTGGAAGAATGAAAACAAGCAGCTTACAGAAGCCCTGCAGAAGGAACAAAGGTGAGTATATTGAGAACTGCCATGTGAAACGCTGGTGATTCCAAAGTAATCTGCGTGCGTGTGTGTGTGTGTGTGTTAAGTGCTGTCAAGTCGCTTCAGACATATGGGGACCCTGCGAATTAATGACCTCTGGGATTTCCTACCGCTAACAGCCTTGCTCAGGTCGTGCAGAGTGAGGGCTGTGGTTTCTTTTATGGAGTCAATCCATCTCACGTTGGGTCTTCCTCTTTTCCAGTGTGGTGTAGTAGTTAAGAATGGTGGACTTTAATCTGGGAGAACTGGGTTTGATTCCCCACTCCTCCATGTGAAGCCAGCTGCATGACCTTGGGTCAGTCACAGTTCTCTCAGAGCTGTTCTCTCAAGAGCAGTTCTCTCAGAGCTCTCTCAGCCCCACCTCCCTCACAGGCTGTCTGTTGTGGGGAGAGGAAGGGAAAGGAGATTGTAAGCCGCTCTGAGATTCTGAGTGAAGGGCGGGGTAGGAATCCTCCTTCCACTTCTTCCTGCCTTCAACTTTTCCTATTGTTATTGTCTTCTCTTCTCATAATGTGACCAAAGTACGAGAGCCTCAATTTAGTCATTTTAGCATCTAGGGAGAGTTCAGGCTTGATTTGATCTAGAACCCACTTATTTCTCTCTTTGGCGATCCACAGTATCCGTAAAACTCTTACAAGTCAAGTTTGAATTAATAGGGTTTTTTAAAAAATCAGAGTCCTTGGGAGGACAGTGGATGTGCCGAGCGGCAGGGGGGAAATGGGAAGCGTCTTCCAAAAAAAGAGATCCTGTACCCTTGCGGAAGAATGTGGGAGAGAGGGAGGCCCATGGTTTCCTACTGAAGCGGTACGAGGGAAATACATGCGCATCTGCAAGCCGCTGGGGAACTCCCTAGTAGGCCAGGCAGTCCCACACACATCAATGCCTCCCGGGAACATGTCAGAGTCATCAGCAGAAGGCATGACTGACGCAAGTAAATGTTTGCTCCTCTCCAGGCTAATGGAAAGCTCTCAGGCTTCTGATCCAAGACATCAGGAAGCGGGGCAACGTTGCCCTCAAAGCGGCACAATATCAGGCGGGGTCAGAATCATGTATTTATCATTTCAAAATATTTATATTCCATTACCTCTGCAAAAATACCCCCAAACCAGTGTTCCCGCTAAGCTGAGTTAGTGTGAGCTAGCTCACAGTTTTTTAGCCTCCAGCTCACATATTGTTGTCTTAGCTCAGGGAGGATGGCTTCAGAGCCAACTCATTGATGCAGGAGCCAAATTGCTTGCTCACAACGTTAATGTCAGGAGCTCACAAAGTAGAATTTTTGCTCACAAGACTCCACAGCTTAGAGGGAACATTGCGGCCCAAACCGTGAAGTGGTTTGCAACAATACCATTAAAAATGCACACGAGTAAAATGTATAGGTTGTTAATATCCTGCATTAAGTTTAAAACAGTTCAAAATAGCACCAAATACTAATACAGTTTTACATCATTGAAACAGAGCAGGGGATAGCTAAAATAATTCCGTTGCCTTAAAAGGCGACAGCCAGAAACCAGAGCTCCAAAGTATCAAATAACATAATTTGAAAGTATAAAATAACATAATTTGCATGTTTGTCTGCCAAATTATATGGCTTTTTAATTTCCCCCCAATACATAAGCTACCTAGTGTAAGGAATACTCAGAGGATTTCCTCTGGGTATTTGCATTTCCTTTAATGGGAACTCCTTAGTGTCTGTGCATTGCATAAATGTACCTGCCCAAAGCCCCAATTTGTAACAGTCTAAAATTAGGTTTTGAGGCATGAAATCCCTCCCCAAACAAACCAACCAACCATGGGCCACCCTTGGGTATCAGAGCTTGAAAGGATAAGAACATAACAGAAGCCAATGTTGGATCAGGCCAATGGCCCATCCAGTCCAACACTCTATGTTACACAGTGGCCAAAACCCAGGTGTCACCAGGAGGTCCACCAGGAGGGATGCTTCCTTTGGCAGTACTATGCTCTGTGCTCTTGTTGCTTGACTACACCTGTGCTCACCATCAGGTTGGTCAAGTTGCTGAGGTTTCCCTCATTGGTGTGATGCACGGAGACCACAAAGGAGAATTTGCAGCTAAATAACTTTTTCTCCAGTGGTCCCAGGATTGGGGCAGTCTGTACCTCTTGGAGAAACTCCTCCCTGTAGGCAGGTAAGGTCACTGCAGGGGGAGGGGCTTCTCCCTCACCTTCCAGTTTTCCAGCCCTGCCTCAAGGCAGGCGGAAGCTGTTCTGAGTGCTCTGCTCAGAGTGCTGCAATTCTCTTCTCTTGTTGTTTTGTCTTTTCTCTC